TGTGCACTCAGGAACAAGATTTTGATCTTCGGCCTGTTTGAAGAGACAGCCCTGGCTGCCTTCCTGTCCTACTGCCCTGGCATGGATGTGGCTCTCAGGATGTATCCTCTAAAGTAGGTGTCCAGCTAATGTTTATTAACCGGCATAAAAGACCTGAGATGTTCCCTGCTTACGGGATTCGCATTCCTTTCTTCTTGTCTGCAGGCCTAGCTGGTGGTTTTGTGCATTCCCATATAGTTTTCTCATCTTTGTTTATGATGAAGTTCGAAAACTTATCCTCCGTCGGAACCCTGGTGGTAAGTCTTTGCTTTCTCACCCATTAAGTGTTTTGCTTATATGAAAGACTTGATTGTTACATTTTAGTGGTTTCAATAGCCACTAAGAGAAGTACTTTTCTATTAGAACTTCCCGCAGTGACACCATATGTTTGTATTTTATTTCTTACCGGTTGAACCATTCTTTGATAAGGTTTTCAAAAGCACTGCAGTTCCTTTCTCCACTCAGGTGTTCTTTAGGCGCAGCTGTGTTTTCTAGTGGAGAGAGAAAGGCAGGTCACATTCTGCAGAGAAATAGTCAGAATGAGCTGCTGTGCGCTTTTGAAGGTTAAAGACATTTTCCCAGCAGCTACCAACACTTTCCAATCGTTACCTTTTTTACACTTTCTTGAATTTAGAGTAAAATATTACATATTGCAATTAATATAAATATAATATTAAATTATTATATCATGAGTCTGAGTTTTTACCACTTTTTAGTAATGAAAAAAATAAAACTATTAATTTCTGTCAGTTTAAATGATTATGTCTTATACCAAATATACTGCATATTACACAAGATCAAAAAAATGTTTATATCAAATAAATCTCAGTATGTTTAGGCATTGTACACTATATGCGTCAATCCTTGTTTGGATGAATTAGATTAGATTAGAGGCAGTCAGCCTTTGGTTCTGCTGAGGTATAATGGAAGTCCAGGGTTGCCTTGATAGAGAGTTGTTTTGTTGTCTTTGGCGTCTCTCACCTTTGACAACACTGTGGATTCTCTATGGGCTTCAGGTCACAATAGTTTGACTAATCAAACACAGTGGTCATTAATCCAGTTTATAGTATCTTTGGGTGTATGGGCAGGTACCACCTCCTGCTGGAAAATTAAATTAGCATCTCTATAAAAGAGAAAAACAGAGGATCTACAAAGATCACAGTGAGTGATGACATGGTTCCTCTAATCATCACTGAAAACATCCCACTGGACTTTGAGCCAATCAGCTTCTGTACCTTTAGGCTCTTTCTCTTGACTTTGGGAACTTAGTTTCCAAGCTAAGCATACTTTTATTTTTGAAATAATGTCTTTAAACCACTTTAAGCCCAGATGTATTTCTGACATCTCTGATTCTGGCTTAACATAACAAATGTGACAGCTGTTGCTCATGTTCTGAATGAGTTTTTTTGTGGTGGATCTTAAAGCTCCAAATCCAGCAGCAGTTCACACTTTATGAATTTCCTCTAAACTTGGAAATGAAATTTGCTTCTTAATCCTGTCTGCGCTGCGGTTTTCATTGTTTTTATTTTTTATTTTTTCTACTACAACTTTTCCTTTTTCTCACCTTTGTTTTGTTGGCAGTCAGCTCTTCTGCACAAACCTTTGCTGTGACTGTTTTCAACTAAGTTGGTTCTCCATGATTGTGAAATGTCCACATCATAACATTTCGCAATAGAAAAATCTTTTGTATTGGTCTGTAAATGCAAATTTTTGGGAAATTAATTTTTGTGTTTTAACAGTTAACTATTTAATCTAAAATATCAGACATAAATGTTTGAGTCATACTAGTCTGCAAATAATGAATCCATATTCAAGGACTCTTTTTAACCTGAGTTACTGAAACAAATAAACGTTTCAGTGATATTTTAATCTACTGATATAGATTCTTATATTGTTCGCGTAATAATGCAAATGTTTTTAAATGTTGATCACATTTTAAGTGATTGTGAGCTTTTTGTCTTGTTTTCACTGCAGGTTGGGTGGAGAAGGAGACATACTATTGATCAGTGGAGCACCTTTGCTCGAGCCCCTTTACATCTTCTACTCATCTGTTCTCCCTTCACTTCATCCTCGGCAAGACTCATGTCCAGACGCCTCCTGCCCCCCTTTTAAAGACAAAAATAGCTTTCAAGCAATTTCCATCACAACTGCCCCAAAGATTAAAAAACAGCAAAAGCACCTTTACAACGTTCTACATTGCCCTACGCCCTTTCTCCTTACCTCCTATGATACTCTTTGCATGTTTTCTCTCACTGCTGTGTACTTAAACCAATATATCTACCAAACGGCAGCTGCATATTGTGTATGTAGATTTGAATGAGCTGAAGAAACAGAGGGAGTGTTGATGCTCTGCAAAAAAAGGACCATTCAGCTTTTCCTCCTTCCTCTCTTCCCTGCTCTGTATTTTAGTACACCCGTCTCCTTTCTCTCCTCGCCATCCCTTTGCTTGTCCTCCAGTCACACACAAATTTAAAAGATCACACCATGTGATCTCAACGCCGGCCACCACTTCGACTGCCACCTTTCGCCTCTGAGCGCCTCTGTCTCCTGTTTGCGGAGGACCAGCAGAGTGGTCACCTCCCCGACCATCTCAATGCGTCCATTTTTTCCGTTTATTCAGTTTTTCCACAATCAGTGTTTTTTTTTTTTTTTATATGTGGGGGTGGGAGGGATTTTGATGATTTATTTGTCTTTTTTATTGCTGATACAGGAGAGGAGGTGTGTGAGAGCAACTTTTCCTCATTTAGGCTTAACAAAGCACATCTCATGGTGTCCTCCCTCTTTTCCCCTTCTGTCTCTCACAGCCCTCCTCTCTCTTTCCCTCCCGCCACATTAGTCTGTGTGCACAGTGTGAACCATTGTCGTTGTTAATAACTATTACAATACATCCCCTCTTCCCCAAAGTTGGTAAATCAACTCAATCTCTCTGTGTGCTCTAGGAAATCTATATAATTCTATACCTGAATTGACCGGAGACAGTAAAAAACATGTTGAAAAGCAATGCAGGAGAGACATTAATGAAGGGCATAAACAATATTGGTCAGGATGTGTGTGTCTCTTTTTGTATTTTCTTTGTTTTCAGTTTTGTTTTGGTTTTTTGCTGGTTTCTCAAGAGGCTAATCTTCAATGTTACAGCAAAGCAGGGTTTCGAGTCGTGTTTATTAAAACCAAAAGGCTTCAGGTTCCCATCAAGGCATGTGTGCAGGTGTGATATGGTGAAAGTGTGCTGTGATGTAGTTCGAGTGGTGACAGTATGAGTCCATGTGCCTGGGGCCCTTATCCATGGATCTAGACCCAGGTCCTGATCCAGATTAGTCTGGCTCGGATCTGTGCACACTTGCTGTTGGAGACCAGTCGAAGGGGGCCAGCATAGGTCCATCCTAGGCCACAGAAAAAGGAAGATTGAAGAAGAAAAAAGAAATCATTCAAAACTTGTAGAAATAATGTGTGTCAAATAAATGATCAAACACCAATAAAACATCTAGAACATTTAATACAACCTAAACTGGTGTCTCTGGCTTTGATTTTTTTTGTCACAGTTTGTTGTATCTGGCATGTAAAAAAAGAAAAAAAAATTCAGTCTCCAAAGTTTCTAAGAAACACAAAGGTTACTGTGAATTTAAGGCAAAATAAAATGTATGATAAATTCCTGGTAAGCCAGGTTCATTATCAAATGCCTTACTGTTATGGAAGTCAAGCTTTAAAATAGGACACATAAATGGACAGCCTATTTTATACTCCACTTTACACATATTTATTCAGACCTGATCATTTTTTAAGCAAAAAATTGTTTAGGAACCTGATATCACCAAGTCTTCTGTTACTTTTGATTAATTTAAATATACTTTCCAGGAATAAAACAGTAATCCTTTATCTAAACCCATGAACAGTTGCAGATTTCGTCTCTACAGTTGTTAAACATAAAGGTTTATACAATGAAATCTATTTTTGCTGCAGATATGTGTGATTACTGAACATAAGCTAGCATTAAAAGGTTAACTTCATCCAACATGAATCTGGGAATAAGGTGCCATCTAGTGTCGCTGCTATAGGTGGAAGAGTCTGGCAGCAGCCCAGGGTAATGCACCAAAACTGCATGTGTCAGCCTTGCCTGACAACATAGGAGCTTGAAATAGAGACAAGAGGATTGTATTATATTGTGTAATTATAAGACATTGTGAATGAATGTCTAGGATGGAGCTTAACCCCAGAGCATCTCCAAGCAATCATCTTTTTAAGACTTAATTGCTAATCTAGTGCACAATTTCATGCTGCAGTTCTGCATCAAGTGACAGATACAGATTAGTTGAGTACTTCTCCTGCTTGACAGAGAAATTTAGGGCATATCTCTGAGAAACAGCAGGACTTTGAGGTGCTGGTGCAGCGCTAATGACAAACACTCTCCATTTCACACCAACACATACACACCTACATTGTGTCACTCTCACTGACAAACACCTCTTACTCTCACCCTTGTTCTAATTTCCCCCGTGTCTCTGCAGTGAGCTCACTGCAGTGCAACACCCCCCCCTCCATTCTCCTCACCACCCCTACGTATAATAGAATATCGATCGCTGGGCTTTTGCCGCAGTGTGTAAGCGAGTGTTCCTGTGGACGGGTGTGCGTCTGGCTGGGGCCCTCCAAGGTCATTGCCATGGCAACCTGAGCATGGGGTCCTTTGACTGTGCTGTCAGGGAACATGGGTCAAAGGGGTCACATGAAGAGGGGGAAGAATGGTGGAAACAAAAAAATAGGGCGGGGGGGTGGCAGTTATCGGTGAACACTACAGTTTGGTCTTCTAGCTGCAGAGAGGAGGGATTCATGGGGTTTTATTCCACTGTGCATTCAGACCGGAGCGGAATAATAACCCAGAGGTAGAGACCCGGTTCACAGGGCCACAGAGTTCAACGCAAGCGCTGCCAAACGTGCATAAAAAAGAAGAGAACTGTGCTTCTTAAAAATGAATCAGTAACAAGGCTTTATTGCACGTTCAAAAATGTCCATACATAACAAACCACTTCCAACTAATAGAAACTACTACTTTTAACATACCTGAATAATTTAATATCCATACAGACAATGAGATCAGTTAAACACCAAAACAGAATGCCTTTAGTAGCTTTTAAATGATCCAGAATTTTTATTTATGTAATAAGAACATAATTATTGTGAACAACCAGGCATTTTAAAGCTTCAATTGGCACGTAACCTTTGGAAATATATATCAGAAAGGAACAAGAAGCTTTATGACAAAACAGGTAAAAATTAAAGCAGTTGAAGGCTTTTAATCTCATAATGTGCCTTGATTATTAATAAATTGTGCATACAGTAAGATATTTACTAAACAGAATGATAACATTTCTGATACCATATAAGGTGCTTTCTGGATAAAATGCCATGAGGTTAAGTATATGGAATATAAGATACACATTTAGCTTGGAAAAGGGTTAGAGAGCAGCTTTTGTCCGCCAAACACCTGAAGGCTGATGCCATCAGTGGGTCAAAATGGGTCAAAATGATGCCCGATCGTCAATCAGCGGCTGCTCAAAGTCCAGCCGGCTCTTTACACGGGCTCCATGAGGAGCTCATCCAAGTCGGATCCCTCGAGCTGTCGGAACGCGGCGTGGGAGCCAATCACAAACAGCGTAGCTCCTGGGAGGAGACAGGACAGAAAGGCAAGGTGGATGTTAGGATAAAGAATGTCAAGCTTTTTTCATAGTTATCATAATGCAGGTAATGCCGTCTCTTACTAATGATAAAATTAGTAAGATAAACCAAACTAGAAAAGCTCCCTCAGAGCGCAGACCTCCACCAAGCAGCTAATTTTAGCTTATTGTGATTTACATCTATGGCTAAAACTCACACAAAGTGTCTAAACACAATATAGATAAAGAAGAAATAAAAGAGAGAACATAAACCTGTATCGATCCCATCGGTTTATGCAGTTTGAGCTTTTGTTCTTATGAACCCATAGCATCTTGTGGCTGCAGTGAAAACCGTACATTTCTCAGTGGAACTCTGTGGCTGAAACCAAAGTGATACTGGTATAAATATTGGCACCCTCTTGTCGCTGCTGGTCCATCAGATGGCATTTAAAGGGGCAGAGGTGTCTTTAGAGCTTTAAAAGTGATATCAGTGGCAGAAAGCGGTTTTGCTAAATATTTGTTAAAACATTGTCTGTGCAGTCAGTTCATCAAGATTACAGTCCTGCCTTAAAATATTATTTCCCTGTCGGAGCCACTCAGACCCCCACATACTGGTGGTGAGCGGTCACTGAGAATCCAGCAGCCTGACCCGGTCGCTTCTTTGGGGTTTTCCACTACTGTTCGTGGCAGCTGGAAGTAGATGTTAAGAGTTTTTCAGGTATGTTACAAACTACAGGTACCAGATAAATAGAAGTGAAAATATTTTGGTGGCAGGTTTCTACATTTTGAGTTAACATAGGCTGTTTCAGGGTAGTGATCGCTCTGTATCAGCAGTGCTGTGTCCATCTCCCTGCCAGCTCCAAGATTAGCTTCTCTGATTGGTTGATGTGGCACATTGAGTAGCAAAAGTTCAATTTCTCCTACTCCAGCATCTGTTGCTTGTGAAGCGCGATACGCACCTCAGATGCTCATAAGCTAAAGAGGCGCTGCTTCAGCGCTGCTTTAGACGCACTGCAGGACCTTTTGATGCAAACATAGACTTTGCATGCAAGGCGGCTGCGCCTGCTGCTCAAATCGTGTCCGATGTGAATGTAGCAGAACATTTGAAGAAACGCTACTTGTGTGAGATGTTAAGTTTAAGGTTTCATTTGTATCCTTTAGGGGTTCAGGAATCCTTCATGTAATGCACCTGAGAAAACTATCTTTTTTAAACCATATGCTTCTTCTCCTCATCATTGTGATTCATTTATGGGGCAAAACCACAGAATCTACAAATAAACAGAACCGTAGTATGTATACGAAAACTGGTGCCTATCAAACTTAACTGTTCAGAAACTGGGATCAGACAGCATACGCATTGTGTTGTGACCTCCATTATTATCAATGTGACAAACCTACATCAGTTCTATTTGTTTTTATGTCGCTAACTAAGAGTAACTGAGGATTATTTGAAATTAAAAGTAAAACTCCTGCACACCCAGTGCAGGAACACATGCAACCACAGACTTACCAAGAACCCAAAACACAGCGGTACCAGCTCCAGCCAACCAGAACACAGGCAGGGAGATGGCTCCAGCTAAACTCATCTGGTGGGGAACGGTCAGCTCTTTGCCTTGTTAACCAGAAAGCACAAAGGTAACAAATGCAGGTAGGTTTGTACTTCTCATAGCAGAGGTAATACGCTTGACTATAAGCTTCAAATAAGGCAGTTAAAGCACAGGACATTCACGTGGAACAGAGCTTTTGCTTTCATGTCATTACTCACCAAGAAGAACCAGTTTGGACTCCAGAGATTTGAGGTGGATTATGTAGAAGGCACCAGCAAACACAGCCAAGGCAATCAGCAGCATAGGCGAGCTGATACTGAAGAGCAGAAACAGGCCCCTTACTCTCAGTTTTCAACGCATTCATTCATATTTCAGAACATTTAACTTGTTTTATTTCCCACAGACTTCTGAAACTAAATACTAACTGTGTTGGTTGTTCTATAGTTGACAGCAACAGGAATCAAAATAATTAAAGGCCTTACATGCAGTAGAGAATAAGACCCAGGAAGATGAAGGTGTAGTTGCTGTTGTACACTTCCACATTCTTCACCACCCTCTGGCACAGCTCGCCAAAGTTCCGAGGTTTTGAGAACTTGCGTTGGTCCACAAAACTGGCCCATGGTCGAATGGACACTCTGCGCCGGTCCAACCACTCTTTAGCCCCGCTGACCGAGAGGCCTTTGGGAAGCCACAGCCTGCAAAGCAGAGACAGCCGCATATTAACATGTAAAAAAATACGAAAAATGCTATGAAACATCATCATTTATGAAATAATATCAAACTAAAAAAGCACTCTGAGAGCACAGATCTCTGCCAAGTAGTGACTTACGCCTATAGCTAAAACTCGCACAGGATCTGGATCATTACCAAATTAAAATAAACCTGCTAACAATCCACCAAGATTCCCTTTTCTTGTGTTTTTATCTTCAGTAAAATACTTCCCCACTTTTTGAGTCCAATGCTGAGGCTGTCAATAGTGACTGCTACCTCTCTCTGGTTAAGTGGGGAACTGCTTATTTCCGTCAAATATACCCATCTCACAAAGTTAGAGATTATTTTTAAAAACTCCTGCATCAAGATTTTGATCTGGATCATCACCAAAATGTAATGCTTCATTTGTCACTAACTTTTCAACTTTTCCTGCACACAGACAGACAAACAAAAACATAATCTCCTTGGCAGAGCTAGATATTCTGTTGTTAACATTAAACAAAATATATAAAGTGAAAGGATCTTACTTCGCTAGCACCCCAGTGCCCCCTGTGCCAGTTGGATGAACATCCTCAGCACCAAACAGATCACCAGCCTTGCTATCCATGTCCACAAGGCAGTTCTCTCCCTTTGGTGCACCGGTGGTCATTTGCAGACTTAATGCTGAAAGGAGATTGCAAGAAAATATTATTAAAAGAAAAAAAAAACTAATGTGGATGCAAGATTAAAAATAATCATTAGAAACTTTCACATCCAGCTGAACGGATAGAGAGTTGTCACATCAAGCGGAAATGCATAGCAGATAAAACAGAATGAAAAACTAAAATGGATTCAAAGGAGACCTTTGGGATTGTGATATTTTACACATCAGCACAAAAGTAATCACTGCAACACAATGGACTTTGTGACCCTTATGACTGTGAAAGGTGCTTTATAAATAAACATTACTTACTATGTCGCAAAGCTGTAGGATTTAACTGTGAAAGCATAATCATGCAGCAGAACTAATAAGAAGATATAACAGAAATGTGTTCAAGTTGCAAATTGGGAGCTAATCACTGTGATCAGGCTAAAACTATTATCAATACAAACTTAGGATTAAATTTACAAATTTAGGATTCTCTCAGGCTTCTAACTGTCAAAATAGATTTGGGAGCATAATATACTTGTAGCAAAAAAACCAAGGATTAGCAAAACATGGGATAACAGGAAATTAGATTCTACAGGTTTACTCTGATATTGTTGAAACCGATTTTCAATTTATTGTCTAATTGTGATTTAAAAGTTATAATTTTTTGTTTTGGAATGTTAGAAAATGTTTAAGTGATATTATTCAAACAGAGAATAGTCAACAAAAAATGGTTAAGCTAGCAACTGAGCCATGCAAAAATAAAAAATATGTTACATAAGCTGGACAATTTTGAATCTACAAACTATAACGCATACTAATTTGCAATGGATTGGTTTATGTTTTTACAAGGTTTTTTTTTTTTTAAATAAGGGTAGTTGTTTTTAATCTGATACAACATGGACTTACAGGATTATTCCCATTCAAGCATGTCCCTACTAGTGCATGTTTGTAGACAAATCAGGATCAGTAGGACAGAAACAATTATAGTCGTCACCTAATTAACTTGTCAATTAATTATTAACTGGAGTATTAAGATTCTAAATCATACCTTTAGGTGACAGATCAACCTACTTAGAGCAGTAATTATGCCAAAATTGTAAAAAAAAAAAAAATGTACATCAACATTTTGCATTTAAGAGGCTGCAGCTCTAGATATGAGTCTCTAATTTTTTATTTATTATTCACCTTAATGAATGAGAAAATCTAACTTTTCCATGGTTGACCTACTGATATTGAAGTGACAATACCCACTGCCAGATAACTAGTTATATAAGATGAGAACTACCCAAAACTATTTTAACGTACCTGTCAGAAAGTGTGACAAGCATTTTTTTTTTTTTTTAACCATTGAACAAAAATAACAAAGTTGTGTTCAGGTAGAAACTGTTTTAGTTCAAGGTATAAAACTAAACAAATAATATCTAAGAAATGACTAACAGTATCTCCATAGCCTGGAGACGAACAACTGAATAAGACTTAATAATATTTCAGAAAGAGTTCAATTGAAGCTATTTTAATAGATGTTATAGAGTTAAGATAAAGATATCTGGGGTTCATATTTTCATAAAACGCGACATTTAAGCTTATAGCTTAAAACAAAATTAAATGATCCCTCGTGTTTGTTATCCATACCAAAGCAAACAAATTTAAATATCTAAAATAAGATAAGAGCTGAATATAGTGTCAATCACATGATAGCTCATAATAGTTTGAATAGTTTAGCAGTGGAAAAATACATTCAAATAGGGGCTTGGTCACTCAGGCTAAGCAAGAAAAAACGTTTCGTGTAGTATATTTAGAGCTCCTCTTTAGCGAGAAGCGTCATTGTGTAATATTCGTAAATATCTGATGCAAAACATAAAGATGTTCAAGTGATTAGCCCATTTAGCTTCTCTGCTAACGTTTTCGTTAACTCTGGCCCAAGCAAATAGCTTTACGTCAAAACACTTTACATACGCGTTTATAAATTTATTAAATAGCAAAAATGTAAGATGTAAATCGTAAAATCCTTAGAGGTAAATATAGATTCTTACTGGAAAAGTTTTAAAAGAAAGCTTTCCCTTCTTGTTTGTGTTCTGAATCCCGGATGTGATGTGGCTGTAGAGAGAGTATAAAACCATCTTAGCACTCTGATGCACCCTACCGCCACCTATCGACACCACCAAAAACAACACATTTTCAAACAATACGCATAAGGTAGTAATATGGAAAAGTTTATATTATCATGTGTTTAAATTGGTCATAAAATGCATATGAGCGTTCTTTACAGTGATTTCGATTTCAATAATAGTGGGTCAAGCGAAAGCCATAACAGTTTGTTGGGAAAAAAAGATATCAGTTGTCTGCAGTCTCTGAGCTCGCAGATCAGTGCCGTAAAAACGTGACCTTACATCACCAGTCAAGCAACAGGGATCTGATTGGTCAATTCCTCAGCGTTGTCGTCGTCGCGTCACCGAGCACGTTCCTCTGTGGAAGTTGCTAGATCTTCCAGCGGAAGAGGAGATACGGCAGGAGTGCGGTGAGTTAGAATGATACAGTTTATTTTATTTTAAAAGCGAGTCTAAAATACACCGAAACACTTAAAAGGACACTTTTCATTCTTACGTTTAATCGCGTGCGCACCTTAACGGTCAAAATAGTGTATTTAAGACAATATCTGGTAGCACTAACAGTTATGGTTTTTACTGCTAACAAAGAGTCCGCATATTATATAAGAACAATGAATATTTTTTATGTTGAACTTTATCATTTGTGGCAGAAATCTGTTATTAAATTACGCTGTTTCTTTTTTTTTTAACACAGAAAACGTGAGAGGTTACATAAACGACCACACGGCTGTACCAATCAGCGCTGCTGCTGCTGGGCGTCAAAAGAAAGGACCAGTGGTTTATTTGGCTTCCAACGAGTTGTTGTTTTCTGCTGAATTTTAACAGCGAATAACTGGCCCATTGTTTGGCAAAACAGCGTCGACCCAAGGACATCGAAAAGGTAATTCAGCAGACCTCGTAAACACAAAATGTCTTCTCTTTGTTATTTTGCTTTGTCGAATTAGTAATGCTGTGTTAACACGTATAGGGTCCTCCAATGGATCTCAATATAATGCAACAGCTGTTATCTATAATCATTATACACAGATAATTATATTTTATACGTTTATATCTGCACGGTGTCTGACTTGGCAGTTGTTCAAGTGGTTATTGACAATTTCCACATCAGGGAAGGCCACAAAATGTCATCTCTAAGGAAGATGGCTGTTAAGCCAGTGGTATATCCAAGTATTTATAGCAGGTTTAGCACAGCTGGTACTGATTATTTAAATTTAGCAAAAGTCTTTTAATCAGCTATCAATGAAAATCAGCTGTGCTGCATGTTTTAGGCATCTCTTTGCTGCAACACAGTTGATTGGTATTAATTGGTGATAAAAAGATTTCTAAAGGGCTTGATGGCATGCAGAGGAGGAGCAAGGCGCATGACCCTAGTCCTTCAGGACCCTCATTCCAGAGCAGGAAATACTGGCTTTGAGAGTATTTAGAAGTAAAATGAGTCAGAGCTTTAAAAGGGACTACAACAAGACCTTACTGGCAACTTCCTTGTGTGGCTTTACCTGGGTTGATTTGAAAAGTTCTTAACTTTAATTCACTGGTTCAAAGACAGATTTTGGTGAATTTTAATCTAAAGATTTAGGTTCCAGAGTCTTGACAAGAGTAGAGCAAGTATTCATTGTAACGTTTTCTGTCGTGATGATTTGGGACAGCATGCCTGAGTGTCCTGGGGTTTCTTTTGCTGTAAATCATAAAAATGTATGTATGTATATATATATATATATATATATATATATATATATATATATAATAAAATAAATAAAAAAACTTAATGTTTATGATAATTAGTCTTACTTTATTTTTAAATATGATCCAGTAACAAGCTACGTTCACACCGCAGCCTGAAGTGACCCAAATCTAGGGGTGTAAATCACATCCATAATTGCGATTCGTTTCAGTATCGATTTCCTGACCCAACGATTCGATTATTTTTGATACTCAAGAATACACCACCATAAGATTCGATTAATTGGTTCTTTTTTTTTTTTAACACCTTACAGGCTAGTCAATGTTTCAAATTTGAAATAAATCACTGAAAGCTGTAATATTGTTATGCATTTTCTTTTTGAGAAACAACAGCAAATAACAGAAGTAGAAAAGTTGCATCAAAAAATAATGCACAAAATCAGTGCAATGAGTGCAATGCAATACCTCGGCTCCAGACGTCCCCGTCCCCTCAACAGACGCTCTGCTGCACCTCTCCCAAATTGTAGCTGACTGCAGACAGGAGGCCGGCTTGTTTTGTTTTTAATGACTGAAATTGCGGAAAACTCCTGAAGTTTGACCCGCTAGAAGAGCGAGGTGCGCGAGAACGCTGGGACCCTTTTTCCACCTGGATCTCCGCTCTTTTTTGCCCTCATGCCCCTCCGTCATCAGACTAAACTCGCCCCCACTTCCTCTCCATCTCGACCGTATCTAGACCCACAGTGTGTAGCACAGATCATGCTTCAATATTGAGCAACTTAAAAATGTCTGTGTCAAGCTTACAGCAACACACTGCTTTAAGAGTATAACCAGGAAGCGCCGTAGGAGGGCAAAATAGGTTTAGCGCCACCGCAGCACGGGAGGAAGAATTACGTCCAGGCGCAAATGGATAAAAATAGGCCGGAGGGGAAAAAAACAAAACATGAATCGATACTCTTGCTGACGTATTGATGCATCGGATCGTCGGCTGTTGGATCGATGCATCGATACAAAACGATTATTATTTACATCCGATAATTATTATTTTTTTTTTTTTGCCCATATGCGACCTGGATCTGATCTTTTCACGGCAGTCTGAACAACACAGATCCAATTTTTTTCCAATGCGACCCAGGCCAACTGGCTATGTGGTCCTGGATCCAATACGAATCTGATCTTTTCAAATGCGACCTGTGTCTGAACGGCCAGGTCGCATCCATCCGAACACAACGCCATTAGTAACTGACATAGGTCACTATTCTGCTTCTTGCTATGCAGAAGTGTTAAGAAAAACAAATACCATGGCTTTAAGCATCTTGAAAAGATTGAAGTTTTAAGATTTGGAAAGATCGCTAGATGCGCTCCAGCACTACATCCTCGTTTACTTCCGTAAACACGAAGCACGCTGGCTTGTGACGTCATTGCGTCCTCTACTGCACATGTGGGACAGTTAAGCTGAATGAATGCAGTTCACACAGGAGATCACATACAAGTTGTATATATAGTTGTATATATTTGGTAATGTGAACGGCAACGCAAAAAATTCGGGATTTCACAAAAAAATTGGAATTGAGCATCAAGGCCTGCAGTGTGATTTACTACTCTACTGCTAATTTAGTACTATTGCTTGTTCATCCTTAATTGCACAGTGTATAATTTTTTTTCTGATTTAACTAGGAATATCTAGAACTTTGTAAACAAAGTACCAGTTAAATGAAGCTAGCCTTGAGTAGTCATTTGTTTTGTTTTTTTGCATTTCAGACTGCTCCTAAATAATTCTTCTAATTTTAGTTTTTTTTTTTTAAACAATATGGACAAAGCCATTTCAAGATGCAGAAAAGGTCCATACAATTGAACTGGCTTAATGCAGCTCAGATAATCAGATTTGTCAAGCACCATTTAATTCATTTATTTCTGACTAATGCTACTCCCAAAACTCCATGAAAACTATCAAACCATGTCTTCCTTTTATAAAATGCCACAGAACACCCAGGTTCTTATGAGCGTAATTGTTGGCTTCTTGGTGCCTATCTATTTGCTGCTTTAAAATAATATTGTTAATTGTTTGTGCTTCTTTCCTGTTGAACAGTTTTGGATAAGAAAACGTGGAAAAAAAACATGGCTGCAGTGCGGTACCCCCAGCGCACCCTCAGGGAATCGCTCCACTGGGACGAAACGGAGTGCATGAACTATTATGGGATGCTTTCTCTCCATGAGATGTTTGAAGTAGTTGGCTCTCAGCTAACAGAGGCAGACGTTGAAGTTCTGTCTTTCCTGCTGAATGAAACCTACCCCGGATCACACCCTCTCGACCCGGCTGGCTGGACGGTTGAACCTGCTGAAGGCGATCCAGAGGACTCTGGTGTAGCCCCGAGTCCACAGCTGCTCAAAGCATGGAGACGGATAAAGCACAACGAATCACAGCAGCCTTCAGTGGTCTCAAAGTCTAAAAGCGGCCTTGAGCTGTTGCTAGAGCTTGAAAGGAGAGGATACCTCAGTGATGGCAACCTGGAGCCACTGCTCCAACTCTTAAGAGTTCTCACCCGTCATGATCTGCTGCCATTTGTGTCCCACAAGAGAAGGAGGACAGGTAATCACATAGATGCAATGACTGTGGCTGCTTTGTGATGTCCTCCCAGAATTATTCATTCATCTCTTCTTGCTCCATTTGTTAGTATCTGATGTTTAATTTGTGTTTTTCAGTGTCCCCTGAGAGAACTGGACAGAGGTATGAATTAGATAAATCCGAACTGGTGTTTGGATTACAGCATAGCTGCAGAGACACGGATATGCCTCTTTCATCCTTCACACAACAGTTAACTACAGGTAAGTTTGCTTTCCTTTTATTTTGGTTGGTAGAATAGTTCTCACTCTGTCAAAGCCAATACTTATAGCGGGCTTTGCTAAACGATTCTTACCCGTACCATATTCTGTCACATGCTAACTGTGAACCTCTGATTGGGATCTTATGCGATGGGGAATCATAAAATAGAGCATACTGACCTAGACACACTACTTGTGAGCATCTTTATGCTTAAGACAGAATTCTTGAGATAATATTTTCTGGAGATAATTCAATAATGGGCCTATTCATAAAGCACACCCAAGCTGGAAATTAACTAGAAAAAAACTGTGCAATCAGAAATAATGTTTGTCATAACTTGACCTTTTTAGTTTGCATTTTTCTCTAAAGTAGATCTGATTTAACTTGCCAACATTTTACTTCCTGTCTAGATTGCAACATTATCATCAAATTGCACAACAAATTTCCACTATTTTAGTTGGATTATCAGAGGTGTAGTCGCAGAGCTTTTATAGTCCTCACAGCTGTTCATTTCAATGTGTTTTAATTGCTACAGATTTCATGGTCTGCTTATGTTCTGATTGTGTGCTAAATTAGAACCTGTGTGTCGAGGAGGTAAAGATGAGCTAGGAATGAAAGTATTTATGGTTTTCACAGTTCTTTTGATCCTGTTTTTCAGAAAAAAAGAATCTGATAAGAGTGGCACATATTCAACCCTCTTAATCTCTTTCTCCAGAAAAAAATCTGGTGAACATCTGTTCTAAGAAAGAGCTTGTGTATTAGATTGAGCCCATCTGTGTTGGTTTTAATCTCAATATAAATCAGACTTTTTTTAAGGGGGTTCAAAAATTGGAGAATATTATATCATGTATGATCTCAAAGATCGAAATTTACATCAGACAGGTCGAGGATAAAGGGATGAAGTGGTTTCAAAGGGGGGTTAGTTTTATTGTAAGCTTTAAATAGCTAAAACATTTAAGCGTTGACAAAAACTGCAAAGCTTATGGCACAACTGCTAATCTGCAGAGATATAGTTATAGTTCTCCACCTAACCTAACAGTCAGGGTTTACTTGGGATTTATTTTTATATTTTTGCCCAAAAGGGGCTCGTATCTGACTCTTTAGTGGTAGTCAGAACTGTCCGATTATTTTTACCTCCAAAAATTACAATTTGTGACACATATGGTACTAAATGTTGAGTGAAGCCTCAGTGGTCATGTTGCATTTCACTTTCATGTTATCATCCAGGCAATGGCTACTCATTCATACAAACTCCTCTCTAGTACAGACATGGAGTAAATGGACTCTTAGCAATTATGATGGAGCAGCAAAAATAATTTTTTCAAAAGACTTGAAGCTGTTATTGCAGCTAAAGGTTGACCTACAAAAGTATTGGCTCTTAAGGCTTTGAATATAAATGTATGCCATGCACATTCGTCTTTGTCTTTTACATAAGTTGTGCTAATATCTATATTATAGGTTTTATTTTTCAAGTTCTTGTTTTTGTGGTCAACCCAGAAGCAGTTGCAACAGTTGTTAAAAGAATCACCCTACTTTTGCCTGTTTCCTACAATTCAAGCCATGACACAGATGTTTTATGTTTTCAGGTATTTACCCTCCTGCAGCTGGGTCTTCTACAAGGACTCGGAGGAAGAAGAGAGGACATGGCTGGAGCCGTAAGCCCAAGAAAACAAGCAGACCGGTTCAGCCACTGCCTCTCCCGCCAGCACCTCAGAAAGTGTCGTGTGGTAAGTGCAGTGACTACATGGGCAACATGTCTTTTTTTAAGTTTACATCCTTTGCTCTTATAAGCGCTCTCAGTTTCTCCTTTTGTTTTTCCTTTTTCAAGTCAATATCCTAAAAAAAAAACTTCTCAGTCTTTTAACATCCTCAATTTCCTCCATTTCATTCCCTTATGCTTTAAACTGATTTTAATTATTTCTGCTGATCCTCAGCTTGAATCTTTGCGTTTGCTGACAGCAGTCTTTCTCACCATTTTTGTTGGAAGGAAGCAAACACCATCTGTTTAGTTAAAGTAACATTCAACGGAAAGATCCATGAAGTAGATCAATCAATTCCTGTATTTTACCTCAGTGAAGATTTAAAAAAGTTTGAAAATGATGTTAACACTTAAGAAGTGTTTTACATTGAATTAGACCTCATTGGTCATAAAGGTAGGGATAAATTCTCCAGATCCAAATCCACATTTAATACCTTTCAAAATTACAGCAACTTGTGTTTTTATACTTTTCTGGCCAATTCATCCCATTTACCAACAAACAGTTTGAGTAATAAAACTCAACCTCAGTTCTGTTGTTGGACAAATTTTAATATCACCTTTACATTTTTCGGTATTCCTCTTTGGATCATCGAAATCCAAAATATTCAAACCATTTTCAGTGTTGAAGGATGAACAGTATCCTAATACCTTTCTCGAACATACTTTTTTGTTTTCTCATTGACTCTATTGCATTGCTATTCCCTCACTTAACATTTCTCTAACACATCAGTCTGTGTTCAGCTACTGCTACTAGGAATGGAAACTGGTGGCTACTCCCTGCTCTTTTTGTCTTTCAATCCAGGTTTTATCGACCTAAGAGCCGCCCTTTGTTCTGCTTTGTTGTACTGCTTTCATTTAATTTCCCTTAAAAATTTAAAGTATAAATGAACTCAACTCAACTAAACTCATGAAAATACTCTTGAGTTGGTTCCTACAGAAGCAAAAACGATGAAAGAACTTCAAAAACATCCAAAATTAAACTCTTAAACTCTAGACTAAATCTCAGCTCAACAGAAAATGGGTACTAAATAATTTTTTGGCATTTTTAATTAGCTGTTACTTGGTCTTTATTTAAGATGGGTATCAAGATGAAACGCAAAACTGTACAGAATTCCTCATTCTGGTCACTGAATGAGGAATATTAAAATATTAATGATGCATAAGTTCTATTAACTTTGAAAGACGGGCATTACGTCACCTTAAAATGTTTTCTGTTTGATATTGTAAGTATAGACTTAGAAACAGGCTTCCTAAAATAGTTAAGTTGTTTCAAGAGCTGCCTTTTAAATTTAATATATAGATTTAATATATAGTTAACTTATTTGTGGTTGTTAACATTAAAAATGTACTGAGTATGTAGCTTTGAGTTGGCCAATGCATATCTATAGATCAGTGACATAAAAACGATTTATTAAAAACAAAAGAACAATTGCTCTTAGTATTGATCAGCTGATTGAAATTAATAATTAATTTGGTTATGGTAAATGTGTAACTTATAATACTGAGATGGATTTCCTTAGCTTTTTATCCTGTACTAATTAGGCCCCATTTACACACAATAACGTATAAATGGTCTCAGCAGGGTCTTGAAGAGGTTTTCTGAAGTGTATAAAAGGAATGCAGCGTTGTTCCTATTGGATATTCCTCCACTGGTTCAAGTGTGAACAAAACTCAGACAGATCGTGTTGGTTCAATATTGTGGTAGCAGCACGTATGTTATCCATAGTGTTGCCTGTACGCACTGTTAGGGAATGGCCTTTGAAGAATTGATGGGATTTGTTGGCTTAACCACAATGCTGCTACTTCATCACATCCACACCAGGCTGGCCGGAGGAAAGGGGTCCTGCCATGCAGCTAAACTGAACATTCAACAAGTCATCATCTGGTACCTAGAGATCATTATGTACTTTATTTTCAGCTAGAAGGAGTTGAGGAGAAATTTGAATGTAAATCTAAAGATGGAACCAAAAAGCCCAGAGAGAGTAAGAGTATTGGCAGGATAGCAATCAACTGTCCTTCCATTCTGATAAGCTGGTAAAGGCTTTCTCCTCTAAAGCAAGGTTGAAACTGATGGTGCAGAAGCTTCCCTGTTTGTTGAAGAACACCCAGATGCATATTACTGTGGTGAGGGCTTTTTTAGGGTACTCCAAAAACGGCAAACAAAGTAGAACTGAGTTACAAGATTGGTTTCGCTCTAAGATCTTGATTTTTCTTTTTGTTTGTTGCTATCTCATCTTCAGCCAATGAAATACAGTTTTGTTCAGCTTAGCAGAGTGGCTTAGGAAAACGACTGCTTCATGCGATCTCTTCAACATCTCACTCCAATGGAATAAAATCCAGGAATTTGACAAATATTCTTCAAATATAAGAAATTTAACTTCTGACCTTCAAGTATCTTCCAGAGCAATGTGAAAAATCAATCCACGTAAATCTTTAATGTTGCAAAACTGAAATATAAACAGTTTTATAATCTTCTTGTTCTAAATGTCATAAGGAGGCATTTTTCACTGCTAGATTTGTTTTAGTATCAAAGTGTCCATGTCCACCAAACTCTAATAATATCCAGCTCTTAAAAATTCATCTTTTTTTCCTCAACGCCTAAAGATAAATGTTGCGCAAACCTTCCATTTCTTTTGTTTTTTGCTCAGTAAGTCAAAAAGCTTAAACATCCCCTCTTCAAGGCCCGTCTTTGCCTGAAAATGCCAAATACTGACCAAACCAAAGGCCAGATGAAGCCAACTTGAATAAAATATAATAATGGAAGGAAGACAGCCCCCATGGGTATTAAAGTTGAGTGATGTGCCTGTGAACATGCTGCTGTCTTGACTCAACATTTGATTCCACCAGGTTGACTCCGATTGTGACTCAGATCGAGTTACCTAAGACACAATGGATCACGAAGACAGAGATCGAGACTGAGGAACAAAACAAAAAAGTCTGTCACTCCACTCTGTGCATACGTACCGCAGTGTGCGTGATCAACTCAGTCATGTGCTCTCACAAGTCTGGGCCGATGCCTAAGGTAAAAAGAGGCTCTCCTCCTTGTTACAACAGGGGGTGGAGCTGCTACTTTGCTCTGTATACGATGCTTGTCTACCATAGATGCTCCTTACCTGGTCCCCTGTCATCAAATTTAATTTGCTTTTAGGTAATTCTTCCTCTATTTAGTCTTAACTGTGGAAAAAAAAAAAAAGTTGTCACAGTCTCGATTTACTCCTGTTCTGACAAGAGCTCAGTGTGTTAAACAACTGACCCCCGAGTCCTCAGCAGTACGCTACAAGTCCCTCTCACAAGTATGCAGTGCCTGTTTAAAAGTAAAACTCCAAGATGGAAGAGATTTGATGCGTCTGGCTTACTAAAGTCATCCCAATTTGGAACTGGATTTAATTTAATCAGAACTGATCCGCTAGGCTTAATGGTGACTCACAAATATGGCCAACATACCGTTTATAAAACTAAGCCAAATTAGCTTAAGTTCAGGAATACACCTTTATCATAAGAAACAGGGGAAATAATTTTGATGAAGCACAACTGCAAGATAATTAGAGTTTTCAGTTCTGGGAATAATAATTTTTAAAAATTTCATTTGTCAGTAGTGGTTTTACCAGATGAGGTAGACCTTATTTCCTTAAAAGTATTTGAAGATTTTTCAATATCTTTAAATCAATAAAATGTATACAAATGAAATGATTTAATAGAATAGCTCTGCTTTTTTCATCGTGTTTCCGTCTAGCGCCATGGACTCGACAGATATGAAAATATTTGGCTCATTTTAACATTTATGGCATCATTTTATTCTTCGATTTTAATGTCGTAGCAGGGTGAAGAATTGATGAACTACTTTCTTTTATGAGGATGTTTTAATACTTGAGGATGTACCCGTTATAGAGAGATAAAAGTAAGGAAATCTTGACCTTATTTGCCTGGAAGTGAGTAGGAAAATTAGGTTTGGGGTGGAAGTCAGTCGGACACGCCCATAAAACTTGTCTTATTGGAGCTATGCTTTTTGTGTCTCCTTAAGCTTAATTTAAAAACATTGCTTTTTCCCCAGTAAACCAACTTGCACACTGAAAAGGTTAAATTTAATGTGAAAGTGTCTATTAATCTCAAGATTAAATTTGCCTGACCTAATATTGATTTGTAATGCATATTGACTTCAGTATGATATTAAAGAACGTTAAGTTGTCCTATGATCAAAATAAAGAAAAAGGAAAACTGAAAATATGTTGGTCATACTTGTGTAAAACACCTGTTTTCACACATTTTAGCACCATAAAATCCTGATTGGTGTCAGAATGTGAGAATTAGCTTGGCTTTGACTTTCAGATGATCCAAGATGGCTGCTGCTTTAGAAGAAACAACTCTGCTGCAAGTCCTTTTTTTTTTTTTTTTTTTCAAGCAGCTCTGAGAAAATGGAGTAGTGCTCTGCTGAGGGAAGCTCGTTGCTGTATCTTATCTCTGCGACCCGTGTGAGGCCCCCCGTGTGCATATGTGGAGACGGAGCAGAGATAGATAGGGCAGTTCAGTCCATCACTGGCCCCTAGCATTTCAACAGACCTTAAATAGTCTCTCTTGTCATGACTCATCTCCAAAACCATTTTCACCAGAGTGTCTGAATTATACTGTGACATTGACAACTGCTAATACTCCTGTTCCTACAAGGCCTGCTTGGGGAGGCTTATGTTTGCTTTAACCCCTGTTGATTAAGTCATTAGTTGTAATGGTTGAATGTAAGAAAACAGTCCAACATAGGAGTAGTCCCAAGCATTCCAGTGTATCTTAAGAGCCCATTTAAGTATATCTGGATTGATTAAGTTGACATTGACAACTACTGGCCTGTCTGAAACCTGATAACTACTAAGAAGTGCCTGCTTGATGTTGAAGGAAAAAAAGGAACCTGGTCAACCCTCATCCAACCCACTTGTGCTTGTCTCTCTTTCTCTTTCTGTATTCGCAGTTCTAAACAGTCCCAACGTGTGTATCAGGAAAACGATATCCTTACACACAATGAGAGAGCGAGAGATCGAACACTAAATGTTCAAACCACGCAAAAACGGTAAAGAGTGATTTGTCTATGGGACATGAGAGGTTTGTGTGCCTGTCTCTCAGATTTCCCCGTAGCTCTCCACTCTCTTGGTCGGTTGTACACCAGAAAAAATGGATCGATAAAGAGTCGAAGCTCTCCGTGCCAAGCGGCTCCTAGTAAATGGATACTTAAACTTTTTTGGGAAGGTAGGGAGGGTGAGATGAGGAAGCCAAATAGGCTTGGTGTTGAAAGTGAGTAATGAAAACTGTGCCTCCTAATGTCCTGTCTAAGTGGATGTCTCTGTGTCCGATGAAGCGTGAAGTTCTCTGTAACCCTAACAAAATGACTATCACTGTGTTCCTGTGGGTTTTAAAAGACCTTCCAACTCACTGTCTTTACTTCTATCCAGCTCAATGGGAAATGAAGACCAGCCGTAAATGCAGTAATTGGAAAGTGTTTATCATAGTCCTGGTAATTGCATGCTGTGTAATAATAGAAAAGGTCGATATACAAGACTTGAAATGCCTCACTCTAACCACAGCAGGTATTTTAAAAAGTTAAAGCTCTTTGTAACCAATTATTTTCACTGCTGATGGATAAAAGCCATCTTAACATACAAGTCATTGAAAAGGAGTGCAATTTTTTAAATTCTGGCTGTGATATGAAAATAGTAAATTTATTTTTACGGTTGTAAAGCATGTACCTGAAAACATTCTGTGAAATTCGCCCATAATGCCTGTGGAAATGTTGCTTCTGATAAATAGTCCAAAGATGCTGTATTCGACAGATTTTTTTTCCCATCTTATGCTGCTGTTCCCACTCCTCCCCCAACCCTGATCCCTGATCTTGATTGTAATGGTTCATGTTTAACTCAATTTTATCACATTCCTCCCTAGGGTTGTTACTATACAACAAATAGTGAGCCCTTTCCCCCATATTCATAGATCATGGATCCTTTGTAATGCACCTAAATACAATTCCTTTGGGTGCCGTGAAAGGTTACAGCGATGCAATAAAATGACAATTAAGACAATAAAATAGTTTCATGTATTTGTTTCTAATTACAGGCAATATTTGCTTTAAGAGGTGTAGATTTTTAAAACTGCATTTGTGTTGTAAGTCTCGGCATACTGTGATAGAGACACGGCTAAAAATGTATTAGAATTAAAGGTCTTCATGAAAAAGGAATTTTTCTTCTCGTACCTTAATACTTTTCTAAAGACCCCAGCATTTGTTTTCAGCTTACATGTGAATTAATTTTCTAAATTTGGTTAGCTCTGTGCCTGAATTTGAAAAAACGTCTTACGAATGTGACATTTTGGTATTTTCTTCTACTTTATAATCTAATGAAGAACCCACAAGGAAAACTAATGTTTTGATACCACTCCTCTCCAAATGTTAAGGGATTCAAAATCAATGCTATAAATTCGACATTTGCATTTCTAATGTCAGCATTTCCATAGTTAACCTCATGAGTCCGATGCCATTTGTTATGGCCTCAAAGAAAATAAAGCTGAAAAGGAGGTACATGAGACTTTATTAGAACTGAATGAAAAATGTCTTTTTAATAGTCACAACTATTACATTATATGCATATTAGAGTACATTACCTCAGGAGGTACATTGAAATATTACTAGCTTATATTGATAATGGCTCCCTGCTTTTAGAGTGCATCAATATGACACCATATATGGCCATTTTTCTCCGGCCTCTTAAAATGGGGAAATAATGGAGAACATTCTGTTCATTCAAGGCCGAAATGTTCTGAACTTAGCGGGTCACCAAACCACTATAAGGAAATAACTACTTATTTAAATGTAGCCAAAGCTACAGCAGGGTCGGAACATAAGTGTTTTTTCTAAATATTTTATGCATTTAATATTTCATTTGTGATGGAGACCATAGAACTGACTAAATTATGTGCTACTTTCTAAACAAAATAAAGTTAAACCATATAGCCTGTTTTATTAAACAGTCCATCCTTGTTGAAACACAGGATATGTAGCTACAGAATTAATACCGGTGTACAAAAGTAAATCCAATCTAAGAAGTTAGAATCTCTGGATCAAAAAAAAAAATCTGGGTGCACATCATTTGTTAACCTTTATGGATTATTCAATCCCAAAAATCTGAAGTGTTCCAATATTTGCTTCTGATTTTGCTTTCAATCTTTAAAAGTGTTCGAAGGCCTGGGTCTGGAATTGATCTCACTAAACATGATTGAATGAGAATGTTTCTAGATTGTGTCCACTGCTGTTCACCTCTCCTCATACGGGTTTGATTGGGAGTGCTGGGTTTTTGTTGCAGCAAAAGTCATCAGCACCCGGTTTCCTCTTGGAGCTCTGGAAAAAATGTCATGGGAGGTGATCTCAGCGTTGCTCTTGCTCAGTACAGTATGTATCCTCTAATATTTCTCGCTGTGCTGTTGCATGACCATCAGTCCTGTAAACTACGGAAACTCCAGAAGCTATTTATTCTCACCATTGAACATTATAAAGAGAATCGATTCTTATTAACATTTAAGCTGCCCACCTAAGGCTGTTTTTTTTTTTTTTTTTCAATCTACAAAATATTTGCTCACGGTGTAAACGCCATTTCAGTTGATTCATTAAATGAAAGCTCCAGCCATGATGTTTGTGGACCTTTTTAAAGCTGTCAAACCACAAGTTCTCATGCTCCAGTTTCTTCTGATTCAACCGTTCTGTTAACAGCTGCCAATGATACTCAAATTCATACAAATGACCGACCAAGAAAAGGAACAACACTGCTGGATCAGATGAGTATTTCTTTCCTTGCTCCGCCTTACCAAAATAAGTTTCACCAAAACAAACTGAGGGGACCATATTTACAGCCAAGATGCTCTCAGATGGGTTGGTCTAGTTCCCTTACATCTCAGATTTCACTGCTGCACCTTTTAGATGTTCTTTTTCCTGTGGAACTGATGTTATAAACAAACGAAAGCCCATTGAATTCAGTCTATTATGTAGGAGAGGTGCCCCCTTAAAAGAAAAATCAAATGCTCATGAATATACCATCCAGTAGTGACGCTGTGAGAACTATCAGCTACAGATTTCTTCTGTTTCTGCCTCTTATCGCCTTGTTTCAGATTAAAACATTCTACTGTTAATATTGATAGTTTTTTCAACTCTGCACTTTGCAAAATGTGATTTTTACCTCTAAACTTTTTAAACATCAAAGCTTCATCTGGCAGTTATGAGGAGCCAGTCCTTTACATCACTCTGGAAGAGGTTTGAATAAGATTTCCTCACTTCAGCCCAATAGAAGGGTCTAAGAAGGAGTGGCTTGTTTTTTTTATCAGCAAACATTAAGGCCATTCTGCATTTTCAGACCTTTATGTTGCCTGATTGGTTCCATTTTAGCCATTTCCTGATTCTGCCATTATGACTTAAATCAGCCTTTTGAAATGAGTTTGAACAGTCAACTAATGTAGTTAGTTTCTACATATATATTCTTTTATATTTTCAGTTATTTCAGTTATGTTTGATCTGAAAGTTAAGGTTACAAAAGAAACAAGGAATCTTGAGCTGAATAGTTCCTCACAGCACTGTAGAACCTAAATATTGGTTATTTCAACTACTTTTCTAACGTTTCTTTTCTTTTTCTTTTTTCCCCCTTTTGTTTTGCCCTCATTACCCCTTAAAATCTTTCCCGTCTTTTTCTTCCCTTGATTATCTACCCGCCGCCCCAACCACTGCTTCCTCCACCACCTATTATCAGATATTCGCCTACGCGTACGGGCCGAGTACCTGGAGCACGAGTCAGCACTGCGTGAGGGCGTCTCTTCAGACAAGCGTCAGCCGCTGGAGCGTCAGTTCGACTTGTTCAGCCGAGCCAGCTTGCTGCTGCGCACCAGAGATCTGGGCTCCATCGTCTGCGACATCAAGTTCACAGAGCTGGACAACCTGGAGGCCTTCTGGGCAGACTACCTGAGCGGGGCGCTGCTGGAGGCCCTCAAGGGGGTCTTCATCACGGACTCCCTGAGGACGGCTGTTGGCTCAGAGGGCGTCCGCCTCCTGATCAGCGTGGATCAGGATGACTATGAGGAAGGGCGAAGGCTGCTGAGAGCCAGGAAGATGATGTCATCGTGCAATGGTGGGGTCACAAAGTCCTGTTAGGCCTAATGATCCAATGAGACTCTTATTCTGTTGTACTATACGATACTTGAAGGAAAGATTAGCTGGGACTAAGGCAGGAGACTGGCGTTCAAGTCGAAGTCAGAAGCACTTTTATGGCCTTTTTTCTTTTGCAGTTGATGAGAAGACCACTAGATGGCAGGAGTAACTATTTTTGTTCATAACACGCCTTTCTGTTTTCAGAGCTGTCTTAAGTAGGAACACAAACATTTATGAGTGAAAGTGGAATAATTATGGATTGGTCTGAATCTGGAGGAGCAGGTACTGCACCTTAAAACTAAACTGGATGAAAAAGGGACTGGCAGACCTGAACATCCTGATCCAGCGGTAAAACTAGAGTTTTTACTAGCTTTATTTAAATCAAATAAAAGAGCAGACTGAATTTAGGTTTAGAAGAAGTGCCGACTTAATGGACCAACCGTATCCATGTCTAAATATTTCTACCATTTTATTTTTGGATTAACTCGGTTCTGGACATTCTCGTGTGCAGTTCCACCACTAACGGTTTGAAAATGACTTATTTAATACTTGAATGCTAGGAAAATATTGAAATATGAAATGGATTAATTATCTCAAATTTGTAAAGCCAAAAAAAACATTTCAGAGTAAAATGGGAGTACTGTGCCTCTGACTTGTGCGTTGAAGTTTGGATCGCCCAGTTTACTCGGGAGAAGATAGATAAGGCTGGGATTCTCTGCCCCGTGCTCCACGATAACCCACCGTATGATTGCTGTGGCCAGTGGATACTTTAGTCATCAGCAGATAACAGCAGTGATTAGGAACAGGTCTCAGCAGACCATGGAAGATTCATCACTGCAACCTTGTCAAGGGGAGCCCTGATAATGTAATGGTGGCTTGTGTCCGGGCTTCTAGCAAGGCCTCAGCAAGTGCTTCTAGCAAGTAAAGCGGAGGACAGTGCGTCAGTCAATAGAAGTGATGTTGGAGAGATCAAAATCAAAAGTGCAGATCCCAGCTCCACTCAGCCCTGCGATGTTGGCCCAGTAGAGTGGCTCACGGACAGCTGTCTACTCACCCTGCTGGAACTAATGCCTGGACTTCACTCATAGAAGACGATCAATAAGGCCTCTCGCTCTTAAGTCCCTTCATACTGGCACGACTTAAGCAGACAGACACTGTCAGGAGCACAAGTGTGCAGGGCAGAGCAGAGACCGGCAGCAGGACAATGAACAGATTTCCATGTTAACTTGTGTTTTTTTTGGTAAAGGAAATTGTGTATGTTTGTATTGTTCACTAATTCAGGGGAACATTGATTTCTTTTGAAGGGTAACTTTTTTTTTTTTGTGGAAATCTTTATATTGAGAATAATTTCTGGTGAAAATTAAAGATTTTGAAAGTCTGATGTTGATTACTATTTCATCTTTTTAGATTTCATTTTCTTAGAATTTTTCATTTCCGACAGATATAACATTTTAGCACAAGTCAGTATATTAAATATCAGCGCATCGTTAATGGGTCATTTCGTTCAGCTTCTTCTGGTCTTTCATGCTTTACACACTACAGCCAGAGTAGACCCTTGGTCTGCCTCATATCGTGAAGAGGTCTGCTGAATACAAATGTCTTAATGTTAAGGGGTTAAAGCGTGCCTGGAAAAAGGATTTTTGGCTTTTGCTCCCATAGAATGGTGCTTTAAAATAGCTGAAATTTAGTAATGCAGGTTATTTTTATTCTTACACCTTTTCATACTCATGCTGTTTCTTATTTCCAAACCAGGACCTGTGGTGTCTAAAGGAAATTCTTCCTTATAATGTAGTCTAAAATGAGTCCTCTTAGATGTTTTTGGCGAAGGACATCAGAACCTACTGGTCAACTTATCACATAGTTAATTTGCTGGCTAACAGCTTGATTAGGCCTCATGCAAAGATTTTTTTAACTGGACCTGTGCTGGTCATGCTTTCAGATGTTAGGCAGCAATGCCACAGTTGGGGTTAGTATAAAAACAAATGAAAAGGGTAATTTCAGCAGCTAGGACCAAGCCTGAAAGACATGCATTTAGGTTTATTGAAGGGACTGAATGATAGGACAGATGAACTGGGTGTGGAGGGTCAGTCTTCAGCGAATGGCTTTCCCCGAAACCACTTAGGACCCAATCCTTCAGGACAAACTAAAGGGTGGGCAAACCAGTACATGTAGACCTCTGGGTAAGCTGGTGTGTTTTTCAGGAGTGCTCCAGACTCCAACTCAGCCAAATATTGACTTCACTCATTGGGAAGGATCTATTGTAAAGCATGATACCATGGGCCTGTTTCCCTTTCATAAATTGATTTTTAAAGACATTTTTAGGTACTGGCGACCTGTCCAGGGTGTACCCTGCCTCTCGCCCATTGACAGCTGGAGATAGGCAGCAGCACCCCCTCGCGACCCCACTTGGGAAAAAAGTGGCTCGTTTAGAGTTTTTTTTAGCAGATGACTCCTTAGCATTTGGCATAATAAGTAAATGAATGGTTCACCAGATCCTTCATTACACTAAGGCTAAAGCATTAAGCAGAAAACATAGAGGGAACCTGTTGGAGGAGCTGAAGAGAGCATCAAGCTCTGTGTGAAGATAAAACTATGTGCTGTCTGTTTCTGGATTGGATTTAATGTAAATAAGGAAATTGTGCTACTGCAATAAAAGATTTAATGATATTTTCATATTGCCTTTATTGCAAAGCAGTATCACATGCTTGTGTCTGGGTAAAATAAAGGTTCTTATCACTAAGATTTTTCTTTGAAAATGACTAAAGTATTTGATGGCCTAAAAGTCGATGAAGCGGAAAAGAACTGCTTGAGACTGACTTATTGTAGATGGTCTCCAGAATCATAATCCTTGCATTTGAAGATAAAATTAAATAAACCTTTTTTTATATACAGGTGCTGGTCATAAAATTAGAATATCATGAAAAAGTAGATTGATTTCAGTAATTCCATTTAAAAAGTGAAACTTGTATATTATATTCATACATTACATACAAACTCATATATTTCAGATGTTTATTTTGTTTAATTTTGATGATTACAAATGACAACAAATGAAAATCTCAAATTCATCATATCAGAAAATTAGAATATTACTGAAGACCAATAAAAACAAAGGATTTATAGAAATGTTGGCCAACTGAAAAGTATGAACATGAAAAGTATGAGCATGTACAGCACTCAGTATTTAGTTGGGCCTCCTTTGGCCTGTATTACTGCAGCAATGCGGCGTGGCATGGAGTCGATCAGTCTGTGGCACTGCTCAGGTGTTATGATAGCCCAGGTTGCTCTAATAGTGGCTTTTAGCTCTTCTGAATTGTTGGGTCTGGTGTATTGCATCTTCTTCTTCACAATACCCCATAGATTTTCTATGGGGTTAAGGTCAGGAGAGTTTGCTGGCCAATTAAGAACAGGGATACCATGGTCCTTCAACCAGGTACTGGTAGCTTTGGCACTGTGTGCAGGTGCCAAGTCCTGTTGGAAAATGAAATCTGCATCTCCAAAAAGTTGGTCAGCTGCAGGAAGCATGAAGTGCTCTAAAACTTCCTGGTATGTGGCTGCGTTGACCCTGGACCTCAGAAAACACAATGGACCAACACCAGCAGATGACATGGCACCCCAAACCATCACTGACTGTGGAAACTTTACACTGGACTTCAAGCAACGTGGATGAAGTGCCTCTCTTCTTTTCCTCCAGACTCTGGGACCTTGATTTCCAAAGGAAATGCAAAATTTACTTTCATCAGAGAACATGACTTTGGACCACTCACCAGCAGTCCAGTCCTGTTTCTCTTTAGCCCAGGCAAGACGCTTCTGACGCTGTCTGTGGTTCAAGAGTGGCTTGACACAAGGAATGCGACAGCAGAAACCCATGTCTTTCATACGTCTGTGTGTGGTGGTTCTTGAAGCACTCACTCCAGCTGCAGTCCACTCTTTGTGAATCTCCCCCACATTTTTGAATGGGTTTTGTTTCACAATCCTCTCCAGGGTGCGGTTATCTCTCTTGCTTGTACACTTTTTTCGACCACATCTTTTCCTTCCCTTCGCCTCTCTATTAATGTGCTTGGACACTGAGCTCTGTGAACAGCCAGCCTCTTTAGCGATGACCTTTTGTGTCTTGCCCTCCTTGTGCAAGGTGTCGATGGTCGTCTTTTGGACAACTGTCAAGTCAGCAGTCTTCCCCATGATTGTGTAGCCTATAGAACTAGACTGAAAGACCATTTAAAGGCTTTTGCAGGTGGTTTGAGTTAATTAGCTGATTAGAGTGTGGCACCAGGGGCCATCAATTTTGAACCTTTTCACAATATTCTAATTTTCTGATATGATGAATTTGAGATTTTCATTTGTTGTCATTTGTAATCATCAAAATTAAACAAAATAAACATCTGAAATATATGAGTTTGTATGTAATGTATGAATATAATATACAAGTTTCACTTTTTAAATGGAATTACTGAAATCAATCTACTTTTTCATGATATTCTAATTTTATGACCAGCACCTGTATATAACTGGCATTTATAAACACTATACCAGGCCGTGGTAAAGATGCCACCATTGTTTTTTAAGCTGCCATCATCCAGAGACTTTCTTATTGTCCAAATGTAGTTCTCCTATCGACCAGCCCCCATGGTAATGGGGCCCAACCCTCTGGGAGAAAACCTGATGGCGTGTTTTCTACTCTGTTTGGAGTATGCTTTGTTTGATGGCCAGCTCTTCTGCCCTGGGCTTGCCTTGGGGAAAGCCTTCTTCTTATAGAAAGCCCAGTTTTCACCCGCCCAGCCTCAAAGCGGAGAGCAGTGAAGTGATGCCCACAGGTAGATTTAGGCACTTTCTCTGAGAATCCAACAAAACTACAGAGAAATGGCTCAAATGTTACTGTGATGTTCTTCCTCAGAACTCTCTTTCTTCGATGTCCTTGACAATACGAGATACTTTCTTAGTTAAAAAAGATGCCAAACACTCAAAGAACATGATATTTGAGCAACCAAAAACTTAATTTCGGTGAGATTTTATGTAATGGGCCTCCATATTTGAAGATGATACATTATTTTAAAGTGGAATCAGTATTATTTATTTTGATCTTAGTTCAAAATAAAAATATGAAAAATGAGGTGTGCATTGGACTTCGGTCCCTCTGATTCAACACTTTGTCAATCCACTTTTCGCTGTTGGTTTTGGGGAATGTGTGCTTTTTGCCCTCCCCCCAATCATGATGCTGTCACCATGATGTTTCAGGGTATGCTCAGCATTGAGTGCATTTAGCTTTGTGCAGCTTATTTCTTTTTCCCCCCCCAAAAGTTGATATTTTTGACCATATGCGGAAAAAGATCATCTCTCTCTGGCTTCCCTTTGGTGTCTCAGTCACCCCTCCTGCTAAACAGAGGACAGAGTCCAGTGTTCATAGCAGGCACCGAGATAAAATAAGTTTTGCTTTTTCTTTAAATTGTTATAGACTAACATCATTGTCCATTGGGAGACTAGCCAGATTCTTGGTCACTAACAGGCAATATTAATAACCCAACTGTGGTTCCTTGTTTGTAGTTTGCAGCTTCTTACTTAAAAGTCTACATTCCCTTAAAATGCCATGTTTTTATAAAATGGGGAAAAAACTAATTTAAG